GTGGAGGAGGTTGAAACCATGTTAATATGGCATCGAGAGCTTGCATAAAGGCTCCAAACTCAAGCACTGACATACCCTGATATACTGGAACACTAAGATTCTCGGATGGAATCGGATTCTCACTATTTCCCTTATAACTTTCTCTACCCGATCCTTCTCTATTTTCTCGTTCGACCACTCTTCGCGAGTTTAAAGATTTCGACATCTACCAGGACATACATGATAATAACACTAAAGTTAGTAAGGAGTGACATCAATCACACTCTAATGACACCATATAGTAACCTTGACAATCTTAGTGGCATGCAACCCTTTCTAAAGTCAAGTAAACCCGGTTTAGGTCGAGAATCGACTAAACCTATAGCTCTGATACATAAATGTAACACCCATTTTCTGTATATGTTTTCGTACACAAGTCACAAATGTCACATATCTTTTAAAAACATTTGCTTATTTGTAAATCCCATAATTTTTTTTTGAAAATAAAAAAACATTTTAATATAATAATAAAACATTATTTGTAAACTATTACAAAAATTATAACTTTAATACATTCTAGAGCATTTTTGAAAGTTCAAATATATGCCATCTAATTATCAAAATAGACATAATTGTCCTACTGTTACTGATGAGTTAACCTTGGATTGATGATCGTTTCTGCACTCCTTACTCAACTATTCTTGGCTCTTACCTACGCGTGAAATCAAAACACACTAAGTATGTACTTAGTGAGACATAATAATGTAAAAGAACTGCAATTTACACATAAGTATATCCTGGCTATTGAAATACGAACTAAATCGTATACTTCGTAAGAATCAGTTAAAACCATCTCAGTTAATCTAAGTTTATTTCATATAGTCATCGAAACTATTCTTAATATGCCCAACATATCTATCTTTCTATATATATTTTACCAATTATCCTTTATTGTGGCCAATGTATGTCAAATGAGTATGTAAACAATTGCTTGTGTAGTCGTAACATGTTCTTTTTAATGATAAATGTAACCTTGTTCAAAATTCCTTATAACTTGATCGAGTTGAGACTCATTTAAGATAACAGAAGGAGAAAAAAGTACACAAAACTATCTTATTATCTAGTTATGGAGTTGAGATTTCTTGATAAAAAAAATTGCTTTCGAAGGTGATTGTTTGGATTAGACTTATTGAACTCCCGTATAAATATTATACCAAGATATTATTAAGGACTATTAACAACTTTTTTTTATGCTCGGCAAGGTGAATTTATTATAAAATGAACAATTCTTACCCTGATTGTATGCCTCATTAATAGTTTTGAATGATTATGAGGTAATCTAGGTTCAAAATATCTCTTAACCATTTGACAATGTATATACATTCTGCAGATGCAGTTGTTCGAACCTAAAACTTTTAAGGAGAATAAAATTCCCTTTAATCACTTAGGCTACTGATAGGGTCATTCATTATAATACTTAAGTGGGAAAGAGAGTTTGTTTTGCTAAAATTTTGATGGTAGTTGGTTTGAAAAAGCCTTTGCTCCCCTATGTTATGATTGATGATTTTGTGTAAAGAATCGAACACGAGATACTACTGATAATTTGTTGTAGGTATGGATGCTTTGGGTACATGTTGGAGTCTTTTCCTAACTCAAACTCTCTTGAGTGATTACTCATTTTTCAGTTAATGAAAATTCTGAAATAAAACTCAAAATATAATTCATAAAAAATGAATCTACAAGGAAATCCAAAATAATTTACATTCAATTGTTTATATTACCGTTCCTTCCATTTATACTATATTTAAAAGTTTAATTAAGTTCAGTGTTATTAGTTAATCAAACACTAAATTATAAATTAGTAAATCACTTTTATTTGAGGGTATATTATATATTATTTTTGTCTTTTCATTATTTTATATAGGGATTCGATTCGAAGGCAAAGAGGATGAGATTATTGAGAACTTTGTTTAGTTAGATACTTTGTAATCACGTTCAAGGCGTTCGGCAAACTGTTTATAGTTGCAAATTCATCGTCAAGGTATCTTCCGTAATTCACTGGAGTGCTTATAATCTGGTTGGTTTGCTCATAAAAATTTCATCGTGTCTTTGTCTCTGCGTTTCTTTCATCGTGTATGGAGAAGAGAATCGGATCTCTGTCGGAGTTTACTCGGCATTTTTTAGTGCCTTTTGATACATGGAAGGGATTGGTGATACTCGGAGGGTTAAATATTCTACTAATTGTTGGTTATCATGAGTTTTGGTGATGAAGTTAACAGATCAAGAGGTAAATTGTAGAGGATAGATTAAATATTGGTCAAAGTTGAGTGCTGAAGGTGCTACGATAACATGAAGGATTGGAGTTAATCGAAACTAAAGGTTCAACCATTTAACGGTGTTTTCTTCTTACTTGATTGTGGATCGAGATGTTGATAGAGCCTTTATTTTTTGAGGAGGGTTGCTTCGGTGAGTGATTGTGGCAGCTTGTTTCAATGTAGTTTGCGTTCTCATAAGTGCGGGCTTTTGAAGATGGGCATGCTAAGCGTTTTATTTCAGTCTTTTATTTTGTTAATTTTGTCTTATTTCTTTCTATTGGTGTGCTTTTATCTTTGGTTTTAGCAAGATTGTAGGCTTTTCAACCTTTTTAATTTTACAATAAACTTTTACCGAGAGAAAAAAAAAATCTAAGATGAACTAAAAGTAACTACTTAAAAATTGACCGCGAGACTAATAAATTTAAATACGAATTATTTATCAATCAAACTAAGATTATTTATTGAAAAAAACTTGATAGATATATTTTTATATAAAGTATTTTCTTTCGCTCACAACCACAAATCTAGTTTAGTTATAAACTAAGATAATGGAACATGCTGCATTACTTACGGTAAAGGTGTCGATTGAGAAGGATATGTAGGAGGTGCTCGAAGTGTAGGACTTTGTAGAGGTGGAGGAGGTGGTGAGGGATTGTAATTATGCAAGGTGGTGGTGGTGGTGGTTGCTGGAGGTGGAGTGGAGCCTTCTCTACTAGCATCTCCGCCCCCCTCTCCGTTACTCATTTTTGGTTGAGTATCGATCTTGATACATTAGTTGAAACTCTCTAGTAAGTATTGAAAGTTTTCTCTGAGTTTCGAAACTCACAAGCATATTAAAATGAAAGTGCTAAAACTATGATATGGTTTTTAAAACTCTTACATGAAATTTCTACACTTCACTCTTAATTTTCAAACTAAGCTTCAGTATTTCAAACTTTTGGTATTTTTAACTTTTTAAAAAAAAAAATATTTCAAGTATTTTAGCCAAAACACTTTTTGTTTTGTTCGGTGAATAGTTTTTATTAAATATTACAATTGTCTAAACCTGAAAGTGAGCCTCGTTAAACCTTCCCATCTTAAATAAATAAATAAAAAAGAGTACACACTTCCGAGATAATGACTAAATACATAATTCTTTTCATGCCTGTGCACATTAAGCTCAAAATTATGACAGTTTTAGTCATCCATAAACTGTGAAAAACATCAATACGCAAGGTGAACATCAGACTCTGAATGCACGATTAAAACTCTAGTGCTAAACATTTCCCTCCAAAGAGGAGGGCTCTGGCTTTCAACCTCTAACTCCATTTGAGCTTTCTGATTTTGTTCATTGGTTCCAGCTGCTTCCTATCATCTTCTCCTTTCTCATAGTTGCTTAATACCTTTCTTTTCACCATCATCGGCTAATTATGAGATGGACATTCACAAAGGTGATCAAAAGACATAACATTAGTGAATTTCAACTAGTGTATTAATATATATATATATATATGTGCAAAAAAAGGAGTAGTAAACAAACAGATTTTTGGAAACACCAACCAATGGTTGAGGTCCTCCCATGGATGCCTGGTTATTCTCCTATCAACCCTAGTGTCGGATGTGAACTGAATTTGTATACCCAGCTGATGCTTGAATCCACTCTGGTACTTGTCTTATTAACCCTTGTTGCGTGGGAACTGAACTTGAAGGACGATGTGCTGAATTAAAAGATTCAGTAATCCACAATGGATTGTTATATGCTACTGCTGAATTCAAATTTGAAGATGATGGTTGTCCTCTTGGAGTATGATCCCCAACATTGACATGGTCCAAAAGATGACATATTCGAATGATATGTGGAACCGATATTGAAGCCCGCCGGCAAGATTGTCCACTGTTGATTGTTATTCTCTGGTGGTTTTGAATTTGTACATGGAGCTGATGCTTGAATCCATTGTGATGGATTTTGTTCTTCCCTCAACCCTAGCATGAGACACTCTTTCGTATGTACTATATGGTCTCCCTCCTATAAACCCTTGAATGAGATGTGCTTCTACAAATGAACTCGAAGGAGGAACTGCGAAAAGGAAATCGAAAATTGAACGCCGACCCGAGAGCCCTAACTGAACATTGAAGAACAAGTTTGAAAATACTCACCTGGAGGGACATGCCCCACGTAAGGGAAAGAGCAGAACAAGGATTCTAAGTCACACAACACAATCATATACATGTTATATAAGTCCCAATCGGTTAAATCTTCAGCAATTGCAGCGCACACCTCTTGGAGTATTGTTTCTAGAGAAACCTGCAGTATTGTATGTTTGCAATAAAAGAAACAGTAAAATTCGAATTTAAGATCTTAAAATCTTATTTAAAAGAAATCGAACTTATTTAAAATCTAAAACCTTATTCAAAAGAAATCAAACTTTTAAACCCTAATTTTTGAATCTAAAATCTTATTTAAAAGAAATCAAACTTCTTAACACTCCCAAATAAATATTAGTGGTAATAATCAACTTTGTTGTGACGGTACGTTGCCTTTCACCTAACATAAATTTAATTATTAATTATACTAAAACATAAGAGAATCGCTTTCATTATGATGTAAACTAAAAGTATCTTGATTTAACCTCTAATGGCGGACGGCAAAGGATTAAGAGGACAAAGGATGTACGGCATCGTCATATATATATTGAACTAAGCTCTTTTCTCATTAGGGTTTTGATAATGGGAGTAAGAGCAAGTAGGTTGACTAAGTTGGTCGGAGATAGAAGGTTTAAGCAAGTCGGATTTACTCCATTGACGCCGAAAGGTTACGTGCCATTATGCGTAGGGGTCAACAATGATATGAGGCGGTTCATCGTACATAGGGAGACATTATGTGACAAAGATTTCTCGGAGATGCTAAGTAATTCGGCCGAAGAATACGGTTTTTGCAACGAAGGAGTTTTGAGGATTCGTTGCGAAGTGAAGGATTTCGAAGAGTGCATCATGAGAAGGACGAAATGGAAAATTGTTCGTGTTACTTGAGAATTTGTCGATACTGATCGATCATCTTCGGATCAATATCGAAGGTATGTAAATGAATTTCCATGGAGGATGCTCTATGCCTATGGCAACTGGATATTAGGAGTTGCTTGTGGTCAGAGGATGGTCTTAAAAAGAATTAAAGTCATTTGGATATGTTTTTAGAGGTAAATATGTGTAAATAAAATATGTTTATGATATGGTGTGTGATGTAAACTTGATCTGAAATAAAAAAAAATCATTGAAAACTCAATTGTTTCATCTTCAAATTGGTTTTGCGAAAAAAAATTAATTGAAAACTCAATTGGTTCATCTTCAAATTTTTCGAAAATCAGTTCACTCGTTTGTCTCATGAAAATTTAAAATTATCATATATTTTTGGGTTTTTTCTATGTATTTAAATATGTTTTTTCCTCCCTAGAATTTTATAATTTTCGACTACTATTAAAATTTTAGAATTCACCTCTAACATAAAAAATTTATATCAGTCCTGAATCTAACCGATCTCTCTCGTTATCCGAAGCAAATGCTTGAACAAAACACAATCTCCAACTTTACAAGATACACTGAAAAAAAAAGAAAAACGTGTTTAGTGCTGAACTTAATTTTTGCAAAACTTAGTTTTAATTAAATAATTATAAAAAAAATAATATTTGAAATGATAAGTAATTTTTTATTGTAACAATTTGAAATAATAGCAAATTTTCATATATTATTATCGTATTTTCGATGAAGTACAAGTTGACGTAATTATATATAATAGCAAATAAATTGAATTACAAATAATTATTAAACCGACAATTTAATTGTAAAAGAATTTAATGGTGACAAATTATTATTATACTAATACTAAATAATAACAAGTTATAATTATCTGTTTATAAGACAGTATTTATATCAATATTATTTGATTATAAGACAGTATTGAATAGGTATTTTTTTTAGCTCTCTTAAGTCTGGGGTTTTATTACTTGTTGACCGAGTTATAAGGCTTTATATATTTTTATTTGTCTTAGACCCAATTTTATTATTTATAATTCATTTTTAGTGGTATGAATCTGCAACTGGACTTTGTATTATATATTTATACTAATAAAAAGATAATGTAATAAATATTTTTACTAAACCTATATTTATAGGTTAAAGTGTATTATATTTATTTATTGGTTGACTGTGGTTGACCGATTGAGGATGAAAGATCGTTAGTTGCGAATGGGTGTGTCAGTTGATGGCTTTTGTGTGTAGTGTAGAATGGAGGTGGAGTCGAGGAATCATTTTTTTTAGTGTGCGTTCTTGGCTGGTATTTGGAGGACAGTGCCACAGTTGTGTGGCATTCGGCGCAGGGTGAGCTTAAACGTAAAACCCCTTATGTTCGTATTTTAAAGATAGCGAGGAATGCTTGTATATACTTTATTTAGGAAGAACGCAATAGGAGATGCTTTAGCAACATTGTTAGGAATGAAGAGAATCTTATTTGTTCTATTAGGGAGGTGGTCCAGCCGAAATTTATTGGTAGGAATATAGGCAACGTTGATTTGCACATTTGTATAGCGTGGGGTTAGGAAATTGAAATTATTAATTGATTCTTGTTGATTTGTTTATGCTTGTTGCTTCTTTGGATATAATACATACATTTTATCCAAAAATAAAGTGTATTATATAATTTTGTATTGTTTTAATAAGTGCTTTGAATATTTTATAAAGTTATCATTTTTTAGGATAAATTGTGCATTTAGTATATAAACTACCAGTTTTGGGCCATTTAAATACCTAAACTTTCAATTTTTTTTCAAAATCATACCTAAAGTTTACTTTTTGTTTCCTTTTAATACCCGTCGTGAAAAATTTAACGCATTTAGTACCTAAACTATCAGTTTTGATTTGTTTTAGTACCTAAATTTTCAATTGTTTTTCAAAACTTAAGAATGATTTAGGAACTAGACGTGTTTTGGTACCTAGACTTTCATTTTTTCAAAACATAATGATGGGGTACTAAAATGTAACAAAAACTAAATTTTAGGTATGGTTTGAAAAAATTGAAAGTTTAGGTACTAAAATGATTCAAAACTGATAGTTTAGATATTAAATGCATAGTTTACCTTTTTGTTTTAAATTGTATGTTCCAACATTCAAAAGCAAAAGCTAAGAATTTACTTTGCTTCTGCTCTTGGTGAACCTACCATAAAAATGGCTTCGATTTTTTTTTAAGTGTTTCCTACTATTTGTTGTCTGAAACAAGGCCCTGTTTCTTCTTCACTGTTTTCAATTTCTTTCAATCTCCGGGATCTTGCACAAGTCGTCAACAAGCAGCCCAGTCCAGGTAATTTAATTGGATTATCTACTTTATTACCTTGAGATACATTATTGAACATGCAATGATTTTGTATGATTTCGTAACAACTGAATTTAAAATATGAATCAGTGAGTCAGTTTACCTTTTAACTTACCATTTCAACCTTCTTTTATTTCCTATGAACTTCTGGAAAGTTGCATACGTGTTTCCTAATTTTCATACTTATAGAGATACATATTATGTATGCTCTGTTTAGGTACCTACGACTAAGATCTGTCTATCAAATTTTCAACAGGATTTGCTTCTGCTATAGCTGCTTTGTGTGATTGGCAAACAATTGAAGTTCTGCTTCTTTGGTTCTGGTCCATTGTTCACTGCTTTATAATCTCACGAGAGTTTTAATCCGGTAAGTCAGTTGTGTCTTCTTCAATGAGTCTATTAACTAAGTTAAAAGAATGATAATACAAATATGATTGCAGGCACAAATCAATGGAGTACGTCGAGCCTGCAATTGCCGTTGCAAATTGTCTTGGAGCTACCGTGTATAAATACCTGCGATATCACCGAAAATTCAATGATTATGTAAGCAACTTTGAGGGAATAAAAGATTGCCTTAGGTATTCGGTATACAAAGAAGAGTCACGATGATTGTCCTCGTAGACAAAGTAACCGACGAGAATCCCGAAGAGAAAATCTAATTCGATGATCTGAAGAAAATTAAATCAAAGCGAAAGCCTAAGGTTGATTTTAACATATTGAATTTTGTTTTAAACTTTCTTTTTAAATTTCTTTTTAATCTTTTTTGAAATCTTTTTATTTTTCTTTCTTCTATTTTATTTCTCTTCATCTATAAATCCCCACCATTTCTCAAATTCTACTGCATCCACTTCTTGGCTCAAAAATTAAACAAAGCACGAATAAATAAAAAAGTTTCCTTAGTTTCTGTGGTATCGACCCTAACTTCTATTTTACTACGTTAATTTTCTTTATTTATTAATTGAGAAAAAATTATTTTGATGCGAAAAACGATGCGCATAAAATTGGCGCTGTTGCTTGGGGGCTAACGGTATATTACTTATTTATTTTTTTGTTTTTTAATTTATGACCCGGAAGTGGAGGAAACATCTATCTTAGAACCTGTAGTCTGAATCAGGTCGTCGAGCTAACGACGTTAAAAATAGTGCTTTATGGGAGACAATCCATTATTATTTTTATTTTACGTTTGTTCAATTTTTATTTTTATTTTCAATTCTATTTTTGTTTTTTTTTTATTTTTCAGGTACCCATTATTCCTATTTGAATTTTAAGCAAGATGGAATCAAGAATTGTTCGAACCGAAAGCCAAAAAATGGCGAAAACTCGACCCCAAGGCATGAAGAAATCGTGTGGCAGCGAACAAAGGATAAATCATTCCGGAAAAAAGGAAGCAGAATTTCGAAATACACTATTCGAACAGTGCAGAAAAATTATTTAGTTCGAACAGTGCATAAAAATACATAGCAGATACTAACAGTGCAGGAAAAAACAGATTTGGTTCAAACTGTACAGAAAATTTCGAACATAACAGTGCAGAAAAAACTGTCATGGTTCGAACAATGCAAAAATATACACAGTAGATTCGAACAGTACAGTGCAGGAAAAAATTAGTGCTGAAAAAACAGGTTTGGTTCGAGCTGTGCAGAACAGTTCAAAAAAAAATATAGCACTTATTTGAATGAGAAGAAAAATAGTGCACTATTTGGACAGTAAAAAAATAGTTGTATAGTTTTGGTTTGAACAGTGAAAAACAATAGTACAATTATGGTTCTAACAGTGAGAGAAGCAACAGTACAGTTTTGGTTCGAACAACAATACAGTTTTGGTTCGAACAACAATACAATTTTGGTTCGAACAGTAAAAATAGCAATACAGTTTTCTTTCGAACAATAAGAAAAAAAAGAGAAAAGGATATATCTTGATTGAGTTCTTTTCTTGAGTCTACTTCCTTTAGAATAAAATCTTGGAGTGATATATTATTTTCTTGATTTTTGTTTTGTAGAAAATTTTAATGTAACTTCTGGTGGTTTCTCGATCAGACATTTTACTCTACAACAGTTCATCTCGACGCAGCCGTGGCCACGGTCGCTATTGGATCGGGAAGTATTCATTTTCCTTCTCTTTTACTTTATATTTTAATTTACGTTTTGAGACAAAACGATTTAAGTGAAGGGGGACGGATTGCATGTTGAATTTCGCCTCGCTTATCGAATGATTGAACTTAAGATATTTTGATCTTGATATGTTGAGTTGTTTGTTGCCTATTCTTGTATTTATTTAATTACTTTAATCTTTTCGGATGAATTCTTTAATCTTGCTTTGAGTTGAACATTGGATGCATGATAGTTAATTGACATAGTTAGTGATTTTTTAATGAAATTTTTGACATTCCATGGTTTATTGATTGAATTGATGCTAGACTTGATATATTGAGCCAATTTTGTGAGCTTTGAGCCTATTGAGCATACGTGTTTCATTCTTGCTCTTTGTTTCTTTGTGTGTACCAAACTCATTTTTAGCATTCTAGAACTTGTGGTGGCATACTAGTTGAGACTACATGCTTGAATTTGATGTTTTTAGTATGATAGAGACATTTAGGATTAACCCTTTCATTACCCAAAAAGCCTACCATTTAATTTATCCCTAAGTAAACCACATTTGAGCCTTTTTTCCATTTGTTTGATTTTCAACTCACCAAATTAAACCTGAAGCATTTCTTTTTATTTTCCCTCTCTTTTCACACTCTTACCGAGACTTGATATTTTGTATCATTCTTGTCCCACAAAGAAAAAAAGGAAACAAAAAAAATAGTTTCATAAAAAAATTAGAACACTGTCTACTATTTCGAACAGCAGAAAAAAGGAAAAAAAAGGGAAAAAAGAAAAAAAAAACAAGACCCTTTGTTCAAGTGAAAAGAAAAAGAAGGAAAAATCAATTGTTTCAATTTCCTTACATCTATTCTTTTTCCTTGTTTATTTTTTCATTGTGCTTCATGTTAATTCGTGGATTGTTCCTAATTATTTTGATCTATTGTTTTGACATTTTAAACCTTTCTTTTTGGCCTTTTTCCTACCCATACCTTAGCCATGTTACAACCCAGATTAAAGACCTCTTGACTTTCACATCTTATTCAATTTAAAGTAGTGGAGTTTGGATTTAATCACAAGCTTATGGTAATGCTTTAACTTTTTCTGGCTTGAGCGTTTCTTTGTCCTTAAAGACTTGAGCGGAATGAGTGAATCCTTTGTGAGGGTATTGAGTATTGCATCATGAGATTAGTGAGCTATCAGAATGTCTTGTTTTGATTTAACTTATTTCCTAGCTTAGCCACATACTTGATTGTTTTTTAATTTCAATTCATTGTCTTGATTTTGGTTCATTGGATGATTAAAGTATGATGTGAGTTATAGAATGACAACTATTGATTTTAGCATGTCGATTGAGAAATGCTTGAGGACAAGTATTAGATAAGTGAGGGGGAATTGGATTAGTGTTTAAATTATACATTATTTTATGATTAATTACTCCTTGATTAGATAATTTTAGTTGCTAACTTAGACATTTTCATTCATTTTCGATGCAGGACATTGAATTACAGAAATTATGCTAAGAACAATGAAATCGTGCAATTTTTTTTTTAATTTTTGTGGATTCATGGTCGGATTAGTGGGCATGACTCAGGGCATGATACATCTGACGAGGCGATGAGTCAGCACCTTCGAGAAGGTCCAGTCAGTGCTTTTAGAAGGACGAATGGGTTTTCCACATTTTTGAAATTCGAATTCAAGTTAAACTCATGTTTTTAGGATTTTAGTTTAAATATTTTAATAATTATCTTTAGAAATTATCTCTTGTTTTTAGGAATTATATTTTCTTTGTTTTTAGGGTTTTTACAAGGCTATAAATACCCCTTGGGGTAAACCTAATGGAATCATCCTTTCTTTAGTTTAATAAAAATTATTTTCATTTATTTTCATTTTCTTTCAAGCTGAGGGCTAAAGAGATGACTCAATTCCAACGTGAGAATTTCAAAGCACTTGAATATATTCGGAATATCTCACTCAGTGTCTGCGATTAAATGTGTGAGAGGAAGAATTTACTTATTGAAAGCACATTCGACTTCTTGGGAACACACTTGGCAAGATTGCCTTGCTAAGAGGGAATTAAGATCGAAATTAGTAGTTATTGAAACAACAATCAGAGTCGGTCTTCACGAACTTAAACGGTTATTGATATATGACAATTGATGTTGATCATATCAATTTCTGAAGCTGAAATCAAAGATTTCCTTGGGTATTTGGTATAGAAAGAAGAGTCACGAGGATTGGCCTTGTAGACAAAGTAACCGACGTGAATCCCAAAGGGAAAATCTAATTCCATGATCCGAAAGAAATTGAGTCAAAACGAAAGCCTAAGGTTGATTTTACCATATTGAATTTCTTTTAAACTTTACTTCTAAATTTCTTTTTAATCTTCTTTGAAATCTTTTTATTTTTCTTTCTTCTATTTTATTTCTCTTCATCTATAAATCCCCACCATTACTCAAATTCTACTCCATCCACTTCTTGGCTCAAAGATTAAACAAAGCACGAATAAATCAGGAAGTTTCCTTAGTCTCTGTGAGATCGACCTTTATTTCTCTTTTACTACGTTAATTTCCTTTATTTATTAATTGAGAATAATGAATTATTTTGACGCGAAAAATGATGTACGTCAGATATCTCTGTCGTGCTCGCAACGAGAAAGCTGGTTGATGAAAAGACTCAAGAAATACAAACGTTTCTTGATAAAACTCGTAATGCATCAGAAAGTCTTGTCATTGATGGTCCAAGTGTTGGGTTGCCTCTCCCAACATCAGAACTAGTTGGTGCGAAAGCTGTGAGAGATGAAATTTGGCAATTTATAATGCAGGAGGAGGTGAGCATGATTGGGGTTTGGGGGGTTGGTGGCTTGGGTAAAACCACCATTATCATGCACATCCATAATGATCTTTTGAAAGAAAGTAGATTTGATAAAGTAATTTGGGTTACTGTGTCAAAGGATTTCAATGTTACAAAGTTAAAAGATGATATTGCAAGTCAATTGGATTCGAAGGAAAATTTGGTCAGAGAAAAAGAAGAGGTTAGACGAGCGGCAATCTTGTCAGAAATGATGAAGAAAACTGGAAAGCATGTTCTAATCCTAGATGATGTGTGGGATATATTATCGCTGGAGGAAGTTGGGATCCCTAAGCCTAGTAGCAGCAACGGATGCAAGTTGGTGTTGACAACACGTTCGAGGCAAGTCTATAAACTTATGGGTTGTAGGGATATACCAGTGACACTCCTTTTAGAAGAAGTATTGTTACTATTCTTGAATAAAGTTGGACCTAACATAACACAAAGGAAAGCTATAATGCCAACTTTGAGGCTCGTTGTCAATGAATGTGCTTGTTTTCCTCTTACAATTGTAGTGGTAGCTGGTACATTGAAAGGAGAAGATGACCCTCATATTTAGAAAAATGCACTCAATGAATTGAAAAGGCGAATATGGATGGTGGAAGGAGTAGAAGCTGAAGTGATCGAACGTTTGAAATTTAGTTTTGATCATTTAAAAGACGAGAAAGTAAAAAAAAATGCTTCTTGTATTGTGCATTATATCCGAAAGATTTTGAAACTAATTGAATGTTGGATTCATGAGGGATACATAGATAAAATGAATACAAGACCAGATATGAAAGACAAGGGTTATACTATTTTGAAAAGGTTGGAAGATAGTTGTTTGCCGTAAAAAGCTATCCTTTGGGAGCCTGTGAAGATGCATGATGCATTCAGAGACATGGTGTTATAATATCGGAACAATGATTATCGGCAAACAAATAAACACGATCAAAAAAGAAAAACAAAGAATACCAGGATTTACGTGGAAAACTCAAAGGGGAAAAACTACAGGCAGAGGAGAAAAATTTTACTAATATGAAGGAATAAAAAAACAAGAGGATTTTGGTGAAAGAAAATTTTGATATCTAACCCTGACCCTTAGTATCTATTTATAGGGATAAATATTTTATTACAAAGGAAAACTAAATAAAGTAGAAATATGTTCAATAAAGTTTTATACTTTTAATCAAACTGGGTTTCCTACTTTCCCAATATTTATATACTAATTAATTTGTGCCACTTTGAATTCGAGTTAAACTCTAACAAATCTTCACATTGACACGAATTCTGAAAGTTCAAAGGTTTCAAGACAAAACACCCAAATTCGATATGATACCCAAACTCAACAAAAAATAATTCTTCACTTCAACGAACAAGTTCTCCTCCTCTTCCACAACACCCTTCAAAGGAGTAATCTTCAATAATGGACATTTACTGAGTCCAAGCCTTTTCTAGGCTTGGATTTAGTCTTCACATCGACTTGGTTATCATAAGTGCCAACTTTGCTCACAAATGTTCCACCACGAGCAAGATCATGCACAACACAATCCCGATCATCAATGATAGTTCTATTTTCAAATTCATTATGCTCACGAAATTGAACTATTTTTTGCTTCACATAATCATTCTGCCCACAATTATTTTGTTCAACAACGTTATTTGACACGGTGGATGAATCACCAACTGCATTATCTAAAACTGTTGAACCCTGTAGAACATAAAACTTGGTAGCATTTCTCTGCCCTTTCAACACAACAAGAGAGTCCTTGCAAATTTTCATAGCTCCACCTTCACTGGAGAATTTGTACCCTTTTGAATCTAGAGTACCTAACGAAATTAGATTTCTACTCAAATCTGAAACATGTCTCACATTACCAAGTGTTTGAAAAATCCCATCGAACATCTTAATCTTGATTGTGTCAATACCAACGACTTTACAAGAGACATTATTTCCCAAAAATACATCACCTGTAGATACAACTTCATACATCGCAAACTAGTCACGATTAAGACACATATGAAAACAATTACCATAGTCAATTATCCACTCATCACTTGTTATTAAGTTTTCATCAGCCGCAATTAGGAGTTCTCTGTCATCGTACTCCTTTACTATACCGACCTTACCAGGTTTCCCAGAGTTCTACTCTTCAGCTTCACTTTTGATTTTATTTTGTAACTTGTAACACTCCGATTTAATATGAAATTTATTTTTACAATAGTGACAAGTTTTACCTTGGTTGGAAGATTTTTATATACCCCTTTCAATATTATTAGAAGAACGCTCGCCTTTTCTCCTACTGTCTAAGCTAGTCGATTCATGTATCACGAGACCATCTTCCTGGGGCTCAGAACCAGATACAAGATGTTTCATCTTGTCAAACGAGTGCAAGCCATTGTAAACATCTTCAATAGTGAGTGTTTCGTGATTGCAAAAGATTGTATCTCTGAAAGATGAGTAGGAAGGAGGCAATAAACATAGGAGGATCAATCCTAACTCTTCTTGATCACATTTCACCTCTAAAGTCTCTAGATCAAAGACGATTTCCTTTAATGTGTTCAGGTTCTCTTTAAGAGACGAACCTTCCGCCAACTTAAGTGAATCAATAGTGAGTGTTGGTCAATGATTTCTACATGTAAAGCTGCTCCAATTTCGCCCACAAAGATGCAGTTTTTTTCTTTCTTTCAACACATCTTGTAAAATTTGATTTGATAAGTGTAAACGAACATGGGAAAGAGCTTTACGATCCTTACGCTTTTCTTTATTCGTCCATTGTGTTACCGACTTCTCATCAAATCCTTATATTGCATCATCGAGATCTAACTGTGCAAGAACATCCCGAATCTTCATCTGCTATAGTGAGAACCTAGCATTTCAATCCAACAACGAAATATCATACTTCATTGTTGTCATAATCTTGAACTCAAAGCTCTGATACCAATTTGTTATAATATCGGGACAATGATTATCGACAAACAAATAAACACGATCGAAAAAGAAAAATAAAGAACACCTGAATTTACTTGAAAAACCCAAAGGGAAAAACCCACAGGTGAGGAGAAGAATTTCACTAATATGAAGGAAGAAAAATACAAGAGAATTTTGGTGAATGAAAAACTTGATATCTAACACTGACCCTTAGTATCTATTTATAGGGATAGATACTTGATTATAAAGGAAAATTAAATAAAGTATAAATCTAATTTAATAAACTACTTTTAATTAAAATGGTTTTCCTACTTTCCTAATATTTATATATTAATTAATTTGTGCTACTTTGAATACGAGTCAAACTCTATTCCATGACATTGTACATCACAAGCATGGGTCCTCGATATGATACAGACACGCATGAAACTAAAAAATTTACCAAAAGAGGATGAATGGAGAGCGGATATTGAGAAAGTATTGCTTATGTACAACTCCATAACAGAGATTCCGGAAGATGTGTCGCCTTCAAATTGTCAGATGCTCACAACCTTTTTGCTGCAAGGGAATCCTATAAAGGATATCTCAAATGCTTTCTTTGCAAACATGCCTCGTCTCTGTGTTCTTAATCTATCCTACACACATATCGAGTCTTTATCTGATTTCATCTCTGATTAAAAGAATTAAATCTCTGATTAAAAGAATTAACGGCATTGGTGCTTCGTGGATGTTTAAACTTAAGACATCTGCCGTGTCTTTCAAAGCTTCTTGGATTGAAGAAGTTGGATCTTTATCTGATCGAAATTAAGGAAGTACCTGAAGGCATGGATATGTTGGTAGACCTAAGGTATCTTGATCTTAGTGTTCTCTTTGAAAGATATGCCCAGGGGACTTTTAAAAAATTCTCTTACCTCCAGCACTTGATTATTAATTTGGAAAATGGAAAAACAACGTTAAAGGCTGAGGACGTAGTGCCACTGGAGAAGTTGGAATGCTTCGAAGGATGCTTCCAAGTCATGGATGAATTGAATAAGTTTGTCTCCTCCATGCAATGTTTTGAAAATCGAACCGGACCGGCCAGTTCAATCGAGAACCGCTGTCTAGTCTGGTTCAATCTACATCGATTGAACCGCTACTAGTGAACCGGCCGGAACAGCTAAACCGTTCGAACCGGACCGTCTGAAAACTGGAAAAAGCTGCCAATTTTATTTTTTTAAAAAAAATTAAACCAAACGACGTCGTGTGTTAAACGAGCCAATTCGAACTTGAGTATTGTTGAGATCTACTCGAACTTGAAAACTTTAAAAGTAAGCTCAACTCGACTCAAACTCACGAGCTAAAAATTATCAAGTTCAACTCGAACTCGAAATATAATATTGAAACTTGAACTCGAAAAGGCTTGAACTCAAAAAAAATTTAGAAGCTCAATTGAATCCTAAAATTCGAGCTTGATTGAAGTGAAAGAATAGTTCAGTCAAAGCTCACCAAAATGCTCCATGATTTTGAATGTCAAATTACCTCTATTATTTATATAAGTTAGTTGTGATGCTCTTCTATGTTTCTTAGCCATGTGAGATTGTTTTGTTCTCATATTTTCTCTTTAGACTTTTGGGATGCTCTTCTATGTTTTTTAGCCATGTGAGATTGTTTTAAAAAAAATTAAACCAAACAATATCATTTTGTTATGTTTTTTTATCCCCAATTTTTTTTTAATTATAGTTATATAATTATATTTATTATTTAATATGTTTTACCTTAAATATAATGTTGTAGTTAATTTGAATCATTTTATTTCACTTGATTTTATGATTTTTAACTTATATATGTTATGACTTGCTTTGAATATAACATGTGATATAAAAAATTATTTTTTATGAAATATTTTTGGTATTTTTATTTATTTTTTTAAATAATTATGACGTCGTCCGATTCTTCCGACCGATCAAATCGATTCAACCGATTAAACCAATAAATCGATAACATAATCGATTCGTTAACCGATCCGATTCTGAAAACCATGCCTCCATGCAGCACTCCAAGAAATATCTCATCAAGTTCATACTGCAGGTGGGCCCATCTTCTCCGGCAGAAGTTTTTAGAAAAGACAAAATTCTAAGAATCATTACAATCGGATTTTGTGAAGGTGAGTTGATTGTGCTCCCATTTGATGGTCAACGGCTACAGATTTCAGACCGGCAGCATTTGAGAAGCTTAAACAATGATATCCCTTCCTTAGAACATGCGATTGACTTCAGGGTTTGTACAATTGATTGTTGCAAAGAGATAGAGTGCGTTGTTTCGTTCTCCGTGTCCTCTTCTCACGCTCAATCATTTCAAAGCCTTGAGGTGTTGTATCTCACTGGAACTTATCAAAGTTGAAAGATTTGGATCATCAACATTTGCTCCATCTCCCACCTTTTCCCTTTTTGAAGTTCTTAACATAGAGTTGCAAGAGTATGAAGATGTTGCTTCCCAACCTCCAAAATCTGGAACAAATTGGAGTCAGTAAATGTGATCAACTAATAGAAATATTGGGAGCACCAACATCAGAAGATGAAGAAAAAGGAAGTGGCATTAATCAAATTCAGTCATCCCAAATTGAGAGAGTTGAAACTACACGGATTACCAGAATTGGAGACCATCTGCAATAAAAATGGAGCAATGGTTTGTGGTTCTCTCCAGTATATTTACTTGTTTTGCGTCGGCTGAAAAAAATTAGTTAGTAGGAATGGAAAAACAAAATGTAATAAAAGGGT